TATATATATATATATATATATATATATACACACACACACACACCGATTATATTCAAGTGTTTTTCTGACTTTGATCTGTGAAGTCACTGTGTTTGTTTGTGTGTGTGTTGAGGTGCTGTTCTGGGGTCTGCGGGACCTGAAGCGAGTGCAGCTTTTTGAGGTGGAGCGCCCCCTGGTGAGGGTGGAGTGTGCAGGGCGACAGCTGGATTCTGAGGAGATCGAGAGCTACAGCACTCACGCCAACTTCAAAGAGCTGGTCCGCTATATAGATGTGGTCAGTCAAAGTAGTGATGGTTACTGAAAACTGTTTAAGCTTTTCACACTCCAATAATGTATTTTGTTTAGAAAGGTTCATTACTGAGTGAAATGACCCAGCAGCATTTTGAATTACGCCTACAATGAGGTATTTATTGGCCATTCTTGTTCCTGTTTTTTTTATAAACAATAGCTTGATTCGTCTTCACTAATAATATGTCAGATCCTTGTTCATGCATATTTTTGGACATATTACATTTTTTTAAAGAAAGAACAACTTTCAAAACCTAAAACTAATACGTTGTGCCCCCCTGCAGTAACTCTAGAGATAATGATGTCCCACAATCCCTTGCAGTAGCGACATTCAAAGCAACCAGCAACACACCATTCCGTCATTCTTGAAAACACACAAACAACTGAACACGTTATGACAATAATTTCCAGAAAATCATACTCGTTATTTGGATGCATGTCTCAAAATATGAGAGGACTGGAGTAGAGACACCATTCTCGATGTTACAAACATTTCCTTCTTATATTCAGTTGTGTATTTAAATACCATCCTTGGCAATTAACTATTATTTGGGTTGTACATTAGGTCAAGGAAAAGTGGTTTGCAAAATACATGGGATGTGATTTATTTTAAATGTTTTAATATGGGACCGCTGCCCTAGTGTATCCAGTCCGTACAGAGCAGAGCTAACCTCCTCCTTCCTCTTCCTGTAAATATTCCATCCAGGAGCTGCCGGAGCAGGCCTACCTCCACCCCCCTCTGACGGTGTTCGTGGTGGAGCATCGGGCCTTTGGTCGGATGGCTCTGGTGGGGACCCACGTGGTCCAGAGCCTCATGGACTACGCCCCGCGAGAGCTTGGGGGGGAGGAAGAGGAGGAAGATGACGAGCCAAAACCAAAAGGTGAGAGCTGTGAAAGAAGTAATGGAGGAAGTCCATGAGGTGATTGGAGTCATTGGTTTTGAACACAATTTTGTTTAAAATGTGTTGTATACACTGTAAAATGTTTGGCTGTAAAATTACAGTATATTACTGGCTACTAGTTGCATGGATTTCACAGTAATTGACTGTAAATATTTCACAGTAATTGACTGTAAATATTTCACAGTAATTTACTGTAGATATTTTACAGTAAATTAGAATAAAAGTACAACTAAATACTGTGACTTTACAGTTGCCATGCCCATGGAATTACTGTGATATAGCAGTACAGAGCTGTGGTATTATGGTACCTTGCTGTACATAGATTACAGTAATTACCTGTATTTTCACACTATTACTGTAGAAGTGATGCAACACAGTAGCCAGTAATTTACTGTGAATATACAAATGTAAATAATACGATAATATATTGTAAATTTGACTGGGATTGTTCCATAACTACACAATTCAATCAGGTCAATCAACAAAGAAAAACAAAGAAAATGCCCATTTTAACTTTGTTAAGTTTTTAATTATTACGTTTATTCTGGTTTGTTTTGTGTTTGTATCTTTTATTTTCAATGTA